TTTGATAGAAGAAATGATATATTGAAAATTTAATAATAGATATGATAAATTAGACATATTAATAAATAATAGATATGATTGTAATGATAGATAGATAGATAGATGAATGAATGATGAATAGATTGAAAATAGATAGATAATTGAATATATGAATAGATAGATAATGATATGATAGATAGATAGATGAAGAAGATAGATAGAAGAGATGAGATGAATGAATAGATGAATGAATGAATGATATGAATAGATGAATAGATAGATGAATGAAATAGATAGATAAGATATGATAGATATAGAAGATGAGATAATAGATAGAATAGATAGATAGATAGATAGATGAATAGATGATAGATAGATAGATAGATGAAAGATAGATAGATAGATAGATAGATACAAGATAGATAGATAGATAGATGATATGATAGATAGATAGATAGATAGATAGATAGATAGATGATGATAGATAGATAGATAGATAGATAGATATGATGAATAGATATAGATAAATAAATAGATAGATAGATAATAGATAGATAGATATATATATATATATATATATAGATAGATAGATAGATAGATAGATAGATAGATAGATGATAGATAGATAGATAGATAGAATGAATGAGACAATGATAGATAGATATAGATAGATAGATAGATATGAGATATAGATGAAGATAATAGATAGATAGATATAGAATAGATAGATAGATAGATATGAAATAAATAGATAGATAGATAGATAGATAGATAGATAGATAGATAGATAGATAGATGAATAGATAGATAGATAAGATAGATAAATAGATAGATAGATAGATAAGAATAGATAGATAGATTTTATAGATAGATATATAAAAGATTTATTGATAAAGATTTGTTTGTCTTAAAACGTTATTATTTATATTCGAAATGAATATAAATAGATTAGTTAATATTTAAATATATATTTATATAATAACATATGTATATTTATGTGAATAAAAAACATACAAAAATAAAGAAAGGAAAAAAAATTTTTTTATATAAATTTCGATTTTGACAAAATTGTATTTATGCGAAGAAGAAAAAAAGACATAATAAAAATACAAAAACAACCAACTCCATTTCATTTTACTCTTTGGGCATCACTGAAACATATAATATAATGGATCATTAATAAAAACTAAATAGCTGGAAAAATAAATGGGAGTTTATGAAATTTTAAAAATATCACCTGAAGAAGGCCGGAGGAAGGACCGACAAAAATTTAGTTAGAAGGTGAAATTATTTGAATATTTGATGAATAAAATAAAATGATGATAATAATAAATTTAATGTATGATATATGCATATATATTAATATATTTTTTTACATACATACATATATATATATACATATATATATATATATATATATATATATATATATATATATATATATATATTAAGAAATGGACAAAGTCCGACAATTTATTTTTAAACCTGGATTTTTATGTTTAACAATTTTTTTATAGATACAAGTATAAAAAAAATAAATGCAATTGTTTTAATAAACAGTATTAAAAAACATAATGAAAATATTGACTTTTATAGAATTATGGAAAAATGAAAATGATTAAAAATTAGAAAAAAACAGAAATTTATATTTTTTTTTTGTATATACTAAAAAAAGAAAGTTAAACGTTAAAATGTCTTTTAAAAATATATATATAAATATATATAAATATATATATATATATATATATATATATATATATATATTACTGAATAATCTGGACATGTTTTGTCTATTGTTTTTTCAAAAACAAAATCCTTTCAGATCAACTGCTTAAGTTTGATATTAATTTCATTAAGGGAAGACAATGTTTTTTTTCATTTATTTTTTTTATTTTCTCATCATTACTTTCAATCTTATCAAGATCATCTTCAAGAAAAAAATTGGCCATACTGGGTAAAAAGATTATTCCACTAAGCAAAAGCCTAAATATTTTGGATAATCTTTTTTTTAAAAATATATTCAACATTCCCATCGTCATGGATATATATATATATATATATATATATATATATATATATTATATATATATATATATATATATATATATATATATATATATGAATTTTGAAACTAAATTCAAATTTTCCTTCATAATTATGTCCAACAAAAATTTTTTCCAGGATATGGTCTGATGATTTCTTAAAACATGAAACAATATATATATATATATATATATATATATATATATATATATATATACTAAGAATAAATAAATGTTGAATTCACTGATCACAAATCAATCGTCAATCGTCAAATTTACATACAACCTATCCTCTGGAGTGTGTACCGTCAGTTTTTAGGCCATGCGGTGTATGTTAAGGGATCGCAATTTACTCCACATGGACAATTATAAATTTCAGATGATCATAGCTATTTTCTTTCGAGAAATAATAAACACAAAATTAAAAACACACACTGTGGATGACACTGCATTAATATCGAAAGTACTCGGAATAAAAC